GCTTGTTCTGTGGATTATCCAGAGTTAACAGGGATCATTCTCAGTTTTTCAAGGTAAAGATATCATGAACGCTTATTTGGTGACAAAATTTACCTTTTAACAGTGAGATGGGAAATTGTGGATTTGGAATGCTGTTGGGCAGTACAATTAAATCAAAGAGTGTATCTGTGATCATCAGTGACTGTTAACGTTTAACCATTTGAGCATAAAGTTAGTACAGCAGTCACACACTGCTGACTGCTGAATAACCAAATGAGCTGCCAGAAAAGAGGGCTGGCTCAGTGACAGAAGGCAAAAAGGTATTCTACTGTAAACATGATGCCCACCATGCAAAGCAGTGATACTGGAGAACACTGAGCACAGCTGTGTGCACCAAACACACCAGTATACCTGCAAGCATCACTGCCGACCAGCTGAGACGTTTGATAGATTTAAACACTGTAACTAGAGATGTTGTCCAGCAGACAGTGGCTTCTGCACTTATTCTGACAATGTATACAATGATATGTATCTCACAGCAGTGAGCCTGCATGCCTTGGATCAGTCTGCACATCCATGCTGGTTTGAAGGAATTGCAGTCTAAAGCCATCACAGTGGCAGTTTGCATGATATTTGCTTGAGCTATTTGCAACTTAATACCTAGCATGTGTGTTCAGTGTGGCCGGCCGGCCTTTGCGCTAATGCATCATCACTCCTACAGAAGGCACTCAACAGAGAAAACAGTACAATCCCAAACAGCAATTTAGCTGGTTACAACATATGCTAAAGTATGTGGAATGTTAAAACTGAGATTTCAAACCTCTTAGACAAAAAACTGAATAAGAAAACAGGAGAGTTTAGCACAAACAAATTAGAAAACAGGTCAAATATGGTCACCTATTTCTCACCAGTGCTTTTTCGCCCTGGTTGTTGACGATAGGTGAATTTATTCATCAATTGCATCAAAGCCAGCCAATGGAACGCTCCTCACACCTTCAGACGGCAACTTCCACCCAGCTCTGTTGGTTTAAAACTGTCCTCCCCCCCGGAA